GAAACTAACAGAATCATAAATTAAACGTAACTCAAAGTAACTACTGTTCTCTTTTCATTTATATCTGCTGGGTTTCTCTGCCAGGCGTATATACTAACGAAGAGGGCATCTCGATCACACTCGGACTTCCCGATCATGCGAGAAACTCATCACGCACGATACCAACGCTAACGCGCCAGCAGCATCACGTGACTTCCGCTGTCGCAACAGTAGTTTATGTAGAAAACGTTGAGTATCATAAGCAGCTGTGCTATAACTATATAAGTATAATTTTTTACTTCACAAAAAATAGGGAGTTCGATTGAAGCTCTCGATCTTCCCTCCCTGCGTATGTGTGTGAAGTAGGAAATGTTTTAGTATTATTTGAATTTATTTCTAATCTTTTTATTTATTATTACCAGGTGTTATTTCATTGGTCTTTAAATAAAGCTTATTTTACGGTGTGTGGTGTGAGAGTAGGTACTCAGGTGGTTTGTATATAGTGTGACATGAGGAACTTTTCTTTAGCTGTTTTTATAGTATGTGGTGTGAAGGTACTTGACAATTTGTATTAATGTATATGGCATGGGAGTACTTAAGCGGTTTGTGCAGTGTGGCATGAGGTTATATTCTTTTAGTTGTGCTTGTTGTATATGGCATGAATTTACTTCCAACTTTTGGTATGTACAGTGTATGTATGTGAAGTTACATCTTTGAATAATGTGCACAATTTGTAATCTGTTTCTTTCTCCTTTCCATCTGCCACATATCTGATTCTTGTATGTTGTAAATTTTATATTTGGTTTTGAATTACTTTGAAGCAATTTCTGAATGTAAGGTGGTTGAAATTTAAACACTGTTATACCAATAATGTATAACAACTATTGTTATGTATGTACATACATGCGTATTACGTAAGATTTTAATTTTTTTTAACAGTGTTACTTGCCCCATCTTTTGGGTACCATGCGTAACAGACACCTGTAAGAGCACCGTTCATAGATGTCCAGCTTGTGGAAGTAAAATTGGTACCCATACTGGACCCTGTTGTTGTGGTTGTTGCTGAGAGGTCGTTGATGAAAGCAGCGCAGTGTGATGGAACAACTTTCTATAAATGATCTGTAGTTTCTGTTATTTTCGTAAACTCTTATTACGTTTTGTGCACTTGTTTGCATTGTTTAATTAAAGAACAAGCTAAAAGCAGTATCCTATACCTGATAATGTTTTTTTACTTTTTTGATGATTTGATAACACTGTTTTGATTTATTTTCTTTGGTATGCTGTTTTCATTTAGTTATATATTCATTTTATTTAGTTTTATATAAAGTTCAAAAATAAGCTTTATTTTTCTTTCGCTTATTACTTATTGTTTGATAAAGATTTATCAGCACCATGTATTTTGAACCTTACAAATATTCCAAACTATGAATAGTGAAGTGTTTAATTAGTATGTGCTAACCAGTAACGACTGCTCTGGATGTTTTGAAAAGGAATATGTGTTTGCTTATTTCGCAGTTGGAACATCAGTTTCTTTTATAAGTGGTACCAAATCACTTGTTTGTCACTAATGCATCTATATATGCATCAAAAAATTAATTCAGGAATAAAAATAATCTAATCAACAAACATTCAGGATTTAAATTATGTTAATCGTAAGAAAACAAGAAGTGGAAGAACAAAGTAAAACCCCAAAATTGGCGCTAGTTTATTCAACTTAAAGCCAAAAATGAAGATATATATATATATATAAATAATAAGTGCAAGATTGAATTATAATAAACTAGCTAAAAACAGCAACAGGATGTGTCGTTTGACGCAAGTGATCATTTAAGAAATGGCGCGTGTTTCAGTTCGATGAAAGAATGATTTACTTTAAAAAAATTTAGATGGTTCGGCTCGATGTAAGTGATGAGGTACCTAGTAAAATCCAGTGTTCACTTCTGCAGATGGTGATGTGCTTCAAACAGCGCTTAAAGGTGTAATTCTTTATATATCATGAGGACCCTTAAAATTAATGTTATGTCAATATTGGAGATAAGATCCATTAAACTGGTAGCTGTAGTATATTTAAACATTACAATCTAACATAACGTTTTTGAAATAGAACGGGTCGGCATGGCCAGGTGGATAGGACGCTCGACTTGTAATCTGCGGGTCGCGGTTCGAATCCCCGTTACACCAAACATGCTCGCCCTTTCAGCCGTGGGGGCGTTATAATGCGACGTTCAATCCCACTATTCGTTGGTAAAAGAGTAGCCCAAGAGTTGGCGGTGGGTTGTGATGACTAGTTGCCTTCCTTTTAGTCTTACACTGCTAAATTATGGACAGCTAGCTCAGATAGCCCTCGCGTAGCTTTGTGCAAAATTCAAAACCGAAATAGAACAGACTAGATGGCAGCGAACTCTTGTAAATTAAACATTTTAACTATTTAATTTATATTGTTCCAATTTCAAATTCAGCTTTATTCTCCAGGTGCATTATTTGTTTGTTGAATGCTACTCGAGAGATATCTTTACTTGCTGCTCCGAATTTAGAAGTGATAGAATTGAAGGAAGGCAGCTAGTGGACACCACCCACCGACAACTTTTGGGCTAACCTAATTGTATAGTGGGATTGGCCGTCGCATTATATCATCCTCATGGCTGAAAAGGCGACTGCATTCGGTGATAGGATTCGACCCGTAGGTTGCAAGTCGGGCGCTCTAACCATCAAGCCACTCAAGATGTATTACAAGTCACGACAGTCTTTTGGTTTGGGCGATGTCATCTCTTTGTGTACCTTGCCAAAGTCTAAATAATTTATACCAAGGTAGTTTAGTTTGGTGTATTATCTTCTTAACAACAGATGCATTCGTTATCGCCTAAACACAGTGTAAAATAATCTTACGAAAATAGACATACATACCACAAGAAAATAAAATTCTGAATAAAATTTGCTAAGGAAATTGATAAAACAAGAACAAACTACATCAATTGATACAAATAACAATTACCAAAGTCATTTTTAATAAGATGTTGTTAATTATAAGACTATCATATTTTTATGAATTTCGGAAAGTTTTAGATTCTATTTATCAAAATACTTTATAAATATGCGCTCGGGTTCGTGCCTCGTTACCATTCTAAAAGATCGCGTTTTGGGGCCGTGGGTGCGTTATAAGAATGACGATCAAATCCCACAATTCAAGTCTGATGAGAGTTGGCAGTGGGTGATGCCTTCCCTCTAGTCTGTTACTTCAAAATTAGGAACATCTATGTACAGATAGCCCTCGAGTAACTTTTGTATAATTCCGTGAACAAAGAAAACAAACAAACAATAAGCTCTCGAGTTTTCTTTCTGAAGACTTTTTAAATAACATTTTCAACATATTTTCCCCAGAATATTAAGTTTGATCAAATAAACCTTCTTAAAACAGTTCAATTGTAATAGAGATGAAATCTAATATCATTGTTCATCATGTAAATTCAATGTATTTCACACAATCTCTCACTTAAGGTTAGTCGTGTCAACTTGTAACATCACATTCCTTTATAAGGAATGTTTCAAAACCTGTTCTCTGTCAAAGGGATTTTTAGCTCAACCCTATTGAATAATATCAACTCTTTTAAAACAGAATATTTTCTCAGGTAATCTTTTGCAGGTTGAATGATACATATATAATTAATTTCAATACTTTCAAAATAAGTTACCGAATCATATTTAATATCTTACAAGTTATGATTTTTTAAACACAGAGCAGTTGATTTATAATCAAACCCGATAAGCATAAAATATAGCAAAGGTAAATTAAAATTCCTAACACTAGAAATGTGATAATACCGTTTTATCACAGAGTTTGTAAATTTAAAGTAAGTTTTTTTGGTTATGCATGAAAAATTATAATCATTTCTATTCTTCTTGGTTTGATAAATTGCTTCTACTTACCTATTAATTTGTATATTGTAATTTTACATAAAATACAACTTAAAGTGAAAAATCTATACTCGAAGCAGTCTCCCAAATACAGAAATCTTGGGCAGTAGGTGAAATGTAACAGTAAAACATGTCAAAGGGTAGCTGACTAATTGCATTCTATTTAATCCTTGAACGCAATAAATTATTGATCCCACGTAGCCTTGGTTACACCTTTGACATGTAAATTTATAACTGCATATTTCCTCTCCGCTTCTTCGTATTTAGAACCATATACAGTACAAAACCTTTAAATATACAATTTTGGTGTTAATTTATTTAACGTTATTGTACTGTACGGTTCACAAATACCAAATGGGTTTGGTCTGATTTGTTGTTTTCCAGCACAAAGCTACACAATGTACTTTCTGTGCTGTGACCACCAGTGGTATCGAAATTAGGGTTTTAGTGTTATAAGCCTTCGGACTTACCGCTACTCCAGTGAGGGCTTCAAAATATGAAAACTCGAAAGTTCAGTACCAATATTGTCAAACTTAACATTAGTTTCAGCTTGAATGGCCTTAAAATTTTAATTCTGTAATAAATGGAACATCTTAAATCGTCAGTGTTATAGCACAACCACAGCCCCAAAGTGCCAAACTGTACACAGTCCGGACACGTTAACCATAGGGCCACGACCGACCTTAATATCAAATAGAGCAGAGTATTATGTTTATTTTTATCATGCGAAACAGGATATTAGTTGTATTTTAATGTACAAACAAGACATTTTTACTAAGCTGGATATTATACAGAGTGGTCGAAAACTATATTTCCCGTTTTAAAATTTGATAATTAAATAACCAAAGAAATACAACTATGCAATTTTCAACATATTTTAGCTCAACTCAAATAGTTTTAATTGTCACTTTTTTTTATCACTCCAATAAGTAGTGTTACCACGTCAAATGGCAAATGTGCAAAAAATAGGCTCGATGCATCATTTGGCTTGCAGAGTGGGCCAATTCTGTGGCCTCTGTGTTCGCCAAACATCACACCACGAAATATCTTTCTCTGAGGGCATGTTAAGGATATCGTATATCGCACACCTATAGCAAACATCACTGAGCTTAATACCGGGATAATGGATACCATCACCACTGTAACTGTGGGCATGTTGCAGCGAACGTGGACTGAAATCGAATATCGTTAAGCGTGATGAGAGCCACTATTGACATGTCAGGTAAAAACTGTTTGAGTTTGACTACAATATGTTGAAAAATAAATTGTTTTAAAATAAGAAATATAATTTGACCACCCAGTATATGTTAATAAAAATTGGAACCTTTTCTAGGCAGTATATTAATATTCAGCACAAAATAAAATCTTTCACTGATCCAAATATTTGTTTTACCGTCTAAGCAAAACTTTCTCTTAAGGAAAAAACATATTTTAATGCAAAGATGAACTCTTTTTACTGATCTAATTATTATTTTTACTTGACCACTGATATCCGTCAGGTAAGTATTATATATCTACAAATCGCAGTTCCAGAAATGTTATGCAGAAAATAAAATTAACACAGAGAGCAAATGAAATACAAGTGAACAAAATCTGTTATTTCCGCACACAGTATAAACTGCCTTTTACTTAAGGTAGCACTGGCCAAACTTACATGCTGAAGAAACACTTCAAACATTTCTTATAACCTTCAAGTTGAGCACAAAACAAAAGTGTGGTGTCACAATCTCTGAAAGTACACTTTCAGCCATATATGTCATATGCATAGTTAATGTGGCAGGGATAAATAAATGCATAGCATAAACTGTTTTAACACCATAACTTTACTTAGGAATGTTAAAAACACATGATACACATGTTCTTTGTGAACATCCTCATAGCTTGAATTAAAAACTTTGTAAATTTTCCGCAACGTTAACGAGCTATTGGAAATTAAATTTAATACCTTCGTTAGTGGTAATTAGACTCATAACTGGTAAAGATTTTTGAATTAAAAAATTCAAGCTATGGAAGAGTGTAATATCAACAAGTGTGTTAAATTTCATGCTAATACATTGGTGACCCCAGTAATAAGTTCGTGAAAATCGGCTTCTAAGCAGATCAAAGGCACAGAATACCATTAGAGCAGCATAGGCGGAATGTGTAAATATGGTTGAATGGGATTGCTGTGATTTTAATTTTCTAGTCGTTTTTCTCACTAAAACATCTTGAACTTTTTTTATAGTGTAAGCCTTCGTCAAATTCAATTCTTTGTTTGTTATCTTGTTAACAGCAACAGGGGACATGACGAGTTTTATGATAGTTTCCTATCGTGAGCATAATATTCACTTGGTATATGAAAAATCTTTTCAGTATCAGGTAAGGATGTAATTGGATACTGTAGTTTTGGGGTGAAAAGAAGAAAAACTCGAGTTCTTGAGGATTAAAGAGTCCCCCTTCGCCCCACAAGCAATAATAAGTTTAAAGAACTAATTGTGTTTAAACGTATATGTATATATACTGTTACGTATCTGCTCGTTTGATAATTTCCCGTAAAAATTCTTTCCGAGAAACTTCAGCGATACAAGTCCTTTCTTAATTATAACTAGTTTATTCTTTCTCGTTATAAACTTTGTAATACAATTAATTTCCACAGTCACTTTAACTTAAACACACGCTATAATTCACAACGATTCGCGCACTGTACTTCTGGTCACTACCGCGCTTGACTCAATTATCTGTCTCTATATCTCTCTATCTGTTATCCAATTCCGATTAATTGTCTCGCTTTATCTGGCGCGCTTATATACAGGAATAGAGGACGTCTAGCAAATTCTGGATAATTCATGATGTTCCCCTATCCTTCTGGAAACTCATCACTTTTTACCGAAGTCACGTGACTTCCG